CTCGGATCTCCCCTGGGGGGCTTGGCTGCTGCTGCTGCTCCGGATTTGCCTCTTGTGACCCTGTCCTTTACCCATGTCCACTCCCTCTAGGAGAGGCCTTGGTACCCCCTCTGCCCTGGAGTGTCCCTCTGCCTAGCATCCCTACAGCCCAGCAGCCCTGCCCCTCTCCAGCACCCAGCTGGGCCAGAGAGAGCCGATTGTGCCAACGAGGACTGGGCCCTGCCCGGCTGCCCGCCTCAGGGATGGGCACCTCATGCCTGTCTCGCCACCTCCTGTGCCAATGTTGTCCCACCCCCCCCCCACCCGGGGTGGGGTGCAGCTTCCACTTACTGGTTAGAAGACACCACTGCCCAACCTTCCTCCCTCCCTGTCTGGTGTCCTGTGCCCCCATCTGTCTGTCTGTTTGTCTGTACTCCCCTAGAAGTATTTTGCCACGTATAAAACCGCCGTCCTGTCCTTTGCAGCTGCCTCCCGAGCCTGCTTTTTTTGTTCCTGCCACACGGCGGCCAGCCGGGCCTGTGGGAGTTGCCCACATGCAGGGGGAGAGGTAGAGGTGGGCACAGGAAGCTGTGCCCCAAGTTGTTTACTCAGCAGGAGAGACGGTACTTTGTTTTGTGGCTCTGATGCATTATGATCAAGCTTGATGGGAGCTGTGTGGCCAGTTTCCCCTTCCCATTCAAGCCAGCCCCAAGTCTTAACCTGTTACCCCGTAAGTAGAGCCAGGAAAAATGCAAAGCTGAGGTGGAGAAATGGGGTGTTGCGGGCACTATTCGGTGGGTAAGATCCAGACCCACTGGCACGATGTCTTAAGGGCATGTGCTCGTTCTTCTGCTCCTGTGGCCTCTACTGCTTCCCAACACCTGACAGAGAGCGGCTGAGTTCCTACCAGCTCCCTCATCCACTGATGCCCTGCTAGCCAGCTTTGGGAGAGGGGAAGAGGTCTATTTGGGGGGCGGGGGAGAGAGAACAGGGACTCCCCCAGCCCCAGCCTGAGAACATCAAGAGGGACAAAGTCAGCAGGTGACATTACCAGCTGGCAGGATGTGGACCTCTGACCGTTGTGACTGCTCTCACCTGTGTCTCCCTCACATGGCACTCGCCATGGCATTTCTCCATTCTCTTGGTTCTTGTTTCTGGGATGGTGGACCTGGGGAACTAGAGCTCCTGGGTCCCTCATCTGAATGCTTCTGCCCAAAGTGTGTGTGTGTGTAGAGCAACAGACATCTATGCCTTTCAGGTGAGGGGTTAACAGACCCAAGTGACTGGCCCAAGGTCCCTGGGAGTTGATGGCAAAGACTGCTGGGATTGGATTCCAGTCTCTGCCTCCCAGCCTAGCTCTCCCCCCACTGCCTTTCAATGGAATCAATCCTTTACTCCTTTCTGAACATTTATTGAGCACCTACCAAGTACCAGGCCCAAGTCTGAAAGGGAGCCGCAGACAATTCAGGACATCATGATGAGCTCTCTGCTGTGAGAAGCACTGGGTTCTGTGGGAACCTGGAAGAAGGGTAATGCCCTTAACCTGGGGAGGACAGGAGAGGCTTCTCAGAGGAGGTGAGGCTCGAGTGGAGTCTAGAAGGCTGGTTAGGAGTTAGCCTGGGGGGAAGTGTTCAAGGCAGAGGAAGCGGGTGGCATGCGTGGCATCTTCTTGGCCCTTCACAGGCAAAGTGTGCTTTCAAGGTGATGGTCAGAGGGGGGTCAGCAGGACCAGGTCACGGGGGCCTTGAGTCATGTTAAGGAGTTTGGGCTTTGTCCTGAAGCTAGTGTGCAGAAAGTGAAGGATTGTAAGTAGCAATGGCAAAGTTGCCTTGGTTGCAGTTTGGAGCATAAATTGGAGGGCCTGCCCTGGAAACGGCTGCAATACTCCAGGTAAGAGGCGGGGGGCGGGGTTGCAATGGGCCACAACAGTGGAATGGGAAAGGAGGCAGTGGCTGCCTCCATCTAGCAGGTAGAATCAAGAGCTCTCCAATCTGGCTCTTGGAGGTGGCCAGAGAGAGGGAGGGAGGCAGGAGGGAGGCATCACGGGGTGACTCTGGGTGATGGTCTTTCCAGACATAGAGGAAGCAGGTGGAAGAACCAGGTTAGAGACAGAAATGATGTCTAGCTTTGGACAAGGTGGGTTTATGGTGCCCGCGGGAGGACGTCCAAGAGAAGAGCAGGAGACAGATGGATGCTTGGTCTGGAGAATCGGGGAACGGCAGAGAGCTCTATCTGGGGTGGAGGCTGATATTTTGAATCAAGGGCGGAGATCATTGACTTTAGTTTACAGATAAAGCTCGCAGCTTGTCCATAGCTGCACAGGTATGCAGCAAGGACTTGAATTCAGATCTTTGGAGTTCAAGATCTGTGGTGCCTGTGAGCCCTAAATCTAGTGCTAATCCCCCCACTCCAGCTTCTGCAAGGGGAGGAGGAAGCAGGTGTCTGAATATGTTTGTCTTCTCTTCGTGCATCTGCTGCCTGAAATTGCATTTGCCCGGAACTTGCAGGCGGGGGCATTTCGAGGTGGCGTGGAGATAGTGAGAGATGAAGAAAGAGAGATTCTTGTCTTTTGGTAACCACAAGCCCTCAACTGATGTACACTCAGCACGTTGGCGGTTGTCAACATGTGAAGATTTCAACAACCGTGAAGTAAGCTGGGATGAGGTCTAGAGAGGCTGATGCTACCACCACTGTCACCTCAGGGAGTGGAGAACTGAGGTGCTGGGACCCCTCTTATCTGGGACCCCTCATCTCATTCCTTGACCAGTAGCTTCTGTCCACAGTGAGTCCTGGGTGTGGCTGAAGGTTTCCACCTTCCAAAAAGTCAAGGGAGCTGAGCTGGGACCTCCATGGCCCAGGAGCAAGGGGTGTTCCAGCCGGTACCCTAGAGGAAAATCTTGTCTTAGCTCCAAAATCACATCCTCAGAAAAGTGAGCTGTGACTCCCTTCTAAGTCAGGCCATCCTACCTACTGTCTCTCAGGGTTTGGTTTTGTTTTTGGTTTTTTGGTGTGTATATTTCTCTCTCCCACTAGACCGTAAGCTCCAAAAGAGCCAGACCGGGTCTGTTTTGTCTACTTGGCATGTTTCCTAACTCCTGACTCATATTTGTCAAATAAATGAATGAATGCCCCCTAAGACCGAGGCCCTAGGTTTCACAGCAGAAGCAGCCCTTGTCTGTTTACTGAATGTGTTCCAGCTAGCAGAATGTCACTTTCAATTCTGCAATTTGGTGGTGGTAATGGGGGGGGTGGTTGGGAGCAGGATGCACTGAGGTTCCTCCCCCCCCCCCGGAAACAGATGGTAAAGGGCTTAAAGGATTGCTGCTTCCCCCAGCACCTTTCTGTGTCCCCACCCCCACCCCCACCCGGCTACCCACCCTGCGCCTGCCATCACACTCCGCGTTCCTTTCCTGGGGCTGAAACGGGCTCTGGTAGTCAATTCTCCTTCCTTCTAACTCCAGGCACCAAGGCGGGTGGGATGAGAATTCCTTATTTAGCCAATTGTTTTCCCTCTTCTCTCCGTGAACTTCCCAGCCTTCCTCATTCCTCTTCAACTTGTGCTCACACCTCTTTTTAAATGTTCGAAACACCATCTCTCAAGCTATGGCATAACTTACCGTACTTCAATAGCCGCACGTTTCTTATGTGTGCCAGGCAGGGGACCAGGCCCGGAGTGGGGAGCAGAACACAGGCGAACAAGACATGAACCCCACCCTCTAGGTCTCACAGCTGATTGGCACAAACAGGCCAGTCTACAATCTCAGGCTAAAGAGAAGCCCCGTTTGTCTGGAGCACCAGGCCAGGGCTTGGGAAGTAGGTGGCTTTTATGGAAGGCAGCTAGTAAGTTTTAGGAGTCCATCCACCTTCCTGGGAAAGTGAAAGCATTCAGGTGGAGGGAACACAGAAGCAAATGCCGAGTTGGAAGGGGCTCGGCCTCTGCGGGCAAGGACCAGCGGATGCAGGACATAAGAGATCACTTGCAAAGGCAGGTGAGGGCTGCTCACGGGGGCTCTTGAACGTCAGGTGAGGAGACTGATCTGAAGCCAGTGGGCGATAGGCAATCATCTGAGCTGTGCTTTACAAAGGTGAATAGGGCTGTGCTGAGTCAGGGGGAGGCAGAGGCAGGGAGACAAGTTAGAGGTTGTTCCCTTAGCGAAGGGGAGCACTAATGGCTCTAGGAGGGCAGTGGCCGTGGGGCAGAAGGAGCTGATTCTCCTGGGTGATAATGGCCTCAACTAACTGCCCCCTCAGCCTGACGCTGGTTTGCCTTCTCCACTTCTCTTTTTGTTTTCTGGTTTTTCCCAGTTTAAGCAAAGAAGGAAATTCATAACAAAAATCTCCTCCTTCCTCTTCCTTCTCCAGCCCGGCTCTCTCTTGGCCCAGGTTCTCTTCTCCTGGCTCTTAGTATCGGGCGCCCGTCTATACGGCCTCTAGCTGTGAGATCTCTCTTTATGTTCCATTCCTATCTTCGGATGTCCACCCCCCACCCCCAGCCCACGATCTGGGGGCTGTGCCTGAGCAGTCGGTTTGCTAATGAATCATAGAAGCAGTACTGATTTATTTCTAGAAGTTGCCTCTCACCAAGGGATTTGGGAGACCCTGCCCTTCCCTAAGGGAACTAACTTTGAGGGGGCCTACAAGCCCCACACTAGTGAAACCACTAGAGATCCGTTGAGAGCTGGAATATTCTCCCAGCTCAGAGAGGATCAGTGAGCCCTCTGCTCCCATAGCTGGCAGGTGCAGAAAGTAGGGTTTTGCTTCAGTCTAGTGACCCAGACATGGCACTTGGAGAAGGGAGATCTGGGGCTTGGTTGTGGGTCACTGCGGTGAGCATCCTTGATATGCAGTGAGGGAGCAGTTCGCCCAGAGAACCTCTGGAGCTTTCTCAGGGCAAAGGGGAGAATGTGGAGTCTGGACCCCATTTAACTTGCACCTGCAGGGCTCTAGACAAGTAGCTTGTTCATTGTCACCATGACATCCATAGCACCCGCGGGGCGGGGGGTGGGGGCAGCGTCCCAGGGGATTCCCAGGCTCCGCAGGTGACTCGTGGGACTTCCTGACCTCACAGGCAAAACTTGACCCCCCTCCGGGGGGCGGGGCTGCAAGCACCCTGGGTAGACCCGGGTGCCCGAAGGTCGCTGAGTCTTGCCCCTCTCCGGCCGGGGACGCGCTATGGGACTACTGATCGCCAAGCTGATGAGCATCTTCGCGAACCAGGGTAAAGGACACACAGTGCCTTCAAGCGACGGCTTTGATCCGGCTCCCACCTGGGGCTCCCCAGATCTGGGGTGGGGGCGGATGCGCTGGGGGACCTCGGGCTCCGAGAGCCCTGCGTGGACACTTCTTGCAGACTCCGCGGTCTCCCCTGCCCCCTCCCCGCCTGCTCTTGGAGGGTCGCGCGCTACGGTGCACCCCGGGGAGCAGGGTTGGACAAGCCTTCTTCCTCCTGGCTAAAAGCCGCCGCCGCTTTTCCTGCGACGGCGATTTCGCTCTCGGCTCTTTCCCCAGACCCCTTCTCTTGGCAAGCCCAGGGCGCCCCTGACCTTTCGGACAACCACTTTTCTGGAAATATGGAGTGACGGAGGTGGCGCTCAGCTCTCGTCTCTACTGTCTGGGAGTGGCGCGGGTGTCCGGGGCTGGGTGGGAAGCAAACCTGTCCAGTTGGTTTTGTGTGGGGGAGGGGTGTAGGGGAGCAGAAGTGGTACAGTGGGCAGAGGTCTCCCAGCCCTCTGGAAACACTCGTCTTCTGGGGAAGCCCGGTAGGGCACACGATCCCTTGGTTACTGAGTTTGGCCCTGACCCTGCCCTTCCCCCTGGATGACTCCAGAGCACAAGGTCATCATCGTGGGACTGGACAATGCGGGAAAGACCACCATTCTCTACCAGTTGTAAGTGACCCTCTGATGGAAAGAGGTGGGGTTTGGGTCTTCCCACCAGACTGACAGACATTTGGACCAATCACCGGAGCCCTTCCCTGGGTCCCCTGGTTTTTAGCCAGGAGGAGTGGTGAGGGGGGGCGCTGGTGTGACCTTCCTGGTACAGTGAGCCTTCAGACCTGTGGCCCCTTGCCTGGGATTCGAATCCTGCCCGTATGGGCAGCCCTAGTGTTCCCCGCCATGCGCCCCCCCCCCCCCCCCCGCCCCGAACCGACCAGACTGGGTTGTGCAGCCCTGAAGCTGTCAGAAACTGACTTCTCTTCCCGCCTCCCTGCTCTTCCCTCCCCCTAGCGGCCGGTCTCTCCTTTCTAACTCCCGCACTTCACCTTTGCCTCCTAACTTTGTCGCCTTCTTCACACCCAAAAGGGAGAGGGTGCAGTTTGGAGTCTGGCTGAGCTTTGTGGCTCCCGATCCAGCCGAGGTGGACACAAGTGCTGACTAATTATCCATCGGTGCTTTTCCCAATATGCAGTCTCTGGATGGCATCTCTCTCCTTTGTAGCCTCCAGAGTATTTACTTAGGAAGATTTTCCCCTGAAAAAGTAGTGTATGTAAATGGTTATTTTAAACCAGAAGAAAAGAGAAAATCAAACACTACACACGCATACAGTGAAAACTAAGTTTCCCCGCCCTAATGCCCAGATCTTCCAGAGGCACTCCCTACATATAAAACGGTGAGTGTTTTCTATGTTAAAGCACCTCTCTGATGGCCTTTGCTTGTATCGGTCTCCTTTTCCCAAAATCCCTTGCTACTCAAAGGGTGGTCCACAGACCAGCCGCATTGGCATCAGCTGGAAGCTTGTTAGAAACGCAAAACACTGGGCCCCTGCCTAGGCTCATTGGATCAGAACCTGCATTTTAACAAGACTCCCAGGTGATTCAGCTGCACATTAAAGTTTGGGGACACTGCTCTAATTAGACTCCCATCTCTTGGGTCTGCACCAGGGCAAGACTTGGTTTTACTCCTGCCTGCACTCCCCTGGGCCCAGAGACTTGGTCAACCCCGGGCTGAGCCGTTCTGAGCTTGATTCAGCCTGACTTGCAAGCAGAGGGGTGGGAACAGAACGGGCCGCGCTCTTGGTGACCTCTCTTCCCTCCCCAGCCTGATGAATGAGGTGGTCCATACATCTCCCACCATCGGTAGCAACGTGGAGGAGATTGTTCTGCAAAAGACACACTTCCTCATGTGGGACATAGGGGGACAGGAGGCTCTGCGCTCTACCTGGAACACGTACTACTCCAACACTGAGGTGAGGAGAGCGTCGGGGCTGGAAGGGGCCTTCAAGGCAGCTGTGTGATGTGAGCCGGTCACTGAGCCTTCTCTGAGCCTTGCTTCCCCCCCCCACTTGGTGAGGTGGAGATTGCAATGACTTCCCTCAATTGTTGTGAAATTTAAATAATAAAACAATAGCTAACGCATATGTTTCAAATACTTAATGCAGCACAGCGTTCAGTTAAGATTTTTGGATACTCCTTGGCAGATCTGTCTGCTTGCACTTTGATGCACTGCATGGGGTAGGCCCTTGGTCTCCAGGGGCCTTACTTTCTCCTGCTCACCAGCTGTGTGTCATAGAGCAAGATCTGTCCTCCTGCGGAATGCGTCTCCTCATTTGTAAATGGGGATCACAATGGTCCCAACGGCACGGGGGACCTGACCGGAGTCGTGAATGGCCAGGGCTTGGCCCAGCCTCTGGCACGCAATCAGAGGTTGTGCTGTGCGCCCCCCCCCCCCCCACTGCCTGGGTGGAAAAGGGAATTAAAATGCAACGAGGCAGTGAGAGCTTGAGACCAGACCAGTTCTCTGTGGGGCTTACATCCGGGTGGTGCAGAGGCCGGTCCGGGAGCACAGTGGGCAGGAGACACGTTCATCAGAGGGAAAGCCCACGGCTCACAGTTCCCCTCTGCTGGCCAGTTCATCATCCTTGTGATTGACAGCACGGACCGGGATCGGCTGCTGACCACTCGGGAGGAGCTGTACAGGATGCTGGCCCATGAGGTAAGGCCCCTGAGGTTGGGAGAGAGCCCAGTGTCCTCGCTGTGTGACTTCAGCTGACTCACTTAGCCTCTCTGAGCTTCATTCCTGATCCTCCAGTCTCTGAGAGCCTCCACCCTGGCAGTCTGAAGAGCAATAATGCCCTCAGCACGCCTGGTCACAGAAGCCAGAGTTGCTGGTTTGGGTCCTGACCCCGGTTCTCATTCACTGTGGGACCCCCAACAGGTCACTTCACTTCTCGTATCCTCAGTTTGCCCAAGTATGAAATGGGAGGGATCACCAAATTACTGCCTCATGGGACCGTCGTAAGGATCATATGAGCTGGTTGGGAGGCATTCCGTGAGCTGTCGGTGTCCATGGATGTGGTTGTTTTCACTTGATGTGGTTGCCCTGTCCCTGTCCCACCTGGGCGTGGGCCTCTCCTGCAGGCTGACTGGGGCTGGGCTCTCCTGTCCACAGGCTCTGCGAGATGCTTCCGTCCTGATCTTTGCCAACAAGCAGGATATGAAGGACTCCATGACCACCGTGGAAATCTCTCAGTTCCTCACTCTTAGTGCCATCAAAGACCACCCGTGGCACATACAGGGATGCTGTGCCCTCACTGGGGAAGGGTTAGTGGCTGCCCCACCTGCACCTCCAGGGTTCGGCCCAACCAATGAACAGCTGACCATCAGAACCCTCTGTTTCTCTCCTGTCAGGATCTGGCTCACACTTAGCTCCTGGGCCGAGTCAGTGAAGCACCCACCCACAGCTGAGATGCTGTGGGTAAGCAGTGAGCAGGATAGAGTGCCTGCGCTCAGGCTCATTCTGAAAGACAGGCGACAGGCCACCTCAGCACAAACATTTTAGGTACACAGAGGTGCTTTGAATAAAGTGAAATTGGATTAACAGTGATAGACGGGGCAGGGTTGGGTCTGACTCAGCTCTGGTGGTCAGGGACGCCCTCTACTAGGACATGACCTTTGGGCTGCAATCCAAATGGGGAGAAGACGGCCACAGCCATGGGAAGACCTGGGGGCAAGCCTTCCAGGCAGAAGTTGCTGACTCTTTCTGACCTTGAGTTTTCTTATCTGTAAAGAGGAGGGTGAGTATACCTACTCCCTCTGTAAGTTCCTGTTGAGAGCACGTGACATCAATCATCCAACATTTATTGAGCCCCAAATTTGTGCCAGGCACTTTTCTAGGCACCAGAGAAACAGCGGCGAACAAACCACAAAATCCCCTGCCCTCATGGAGGTTACTTTCCATTGGCGGGTTGGGGGGGGGCAGACACTAAACAATAAAAATAAGAAACATATATAGTGAGTTAGAAAGTGATAAATGCTTGGGAAAGATCAAGTAGGCAAAGGAGATTGGAAGCACGTGGGCAAATGTTGCCATTTTGGATAAGGTACCAGGGAGGGACCACCAGAAAGTAGCTGCTGAGTATAAATACCTGAAGGATGTGAAGGAGCCAGGTCACGGTCACGTAGAAAGGGCCTTGAGTCAGGCTTGGAAAATTCTCTTTTCTCTCTCAAGTGGGATCACAGCAGGCTGGGGACCCGGGCGCCCGGAGACTTTAGGCAGGCGGGCCCAAGGAACCACATGTTTCTGATAGTGTCCTTGCCACCCTCCTCCCGCAACCCACATCCATCCCCTCTGCCAGACGGTAGACCGCAGAGGGCATGTCTGGTTTTTTTCACCAGTAACCTGATGTACTCAGTCCATTTATACTTGTCGATTGAGAGATTGGATGCGACTTTGGTTGTCCCCTCCGTCAGCTCTGGGTAGGGGCCCGGGGCTTGGAGGCCATCATCCTTGCAGGATATGCTGATCTTTGCCCTGTTCCACCTTCCCTGCAGGCTGCCCGCGGGGCTCCAGTGGATGCAGTCTCAGACCACTGCCAACTGATGTCCCAGGCTGAGGCCATCCAAATACTTTGGGGGTTTTGCTTGGACTACGTGGGTGGAAAGCCCAAGTGACTATTCCTTTTCTACGATTCTCGGAATGGAGCTGGGTCGGCTATGGACAGTGACGTGAGATTGCCACAGTCCACCCAACCCTGTGAGCTTGACTGCAAGCCCTGAATTGCTGTAGACAGGACAGCAGAAAAGCTGCCCTTTCCTCCGTGGAAGCAGGTGTCCTTGGAGGCACCAGGCAAGCTGTCGGACATGTTGAGGGATTAGGACGTGGAGCCCAGTCCCCTTGGCCTGCAGCCTCTTTGAGGAAAAAATGGGGGGGGGGGGCGGAGTAAGAGACCCCCTGGAATTGCTCTTTATTTCCTAGAACCCCACCCCCGGCCCCTTGGCTCCCACCCCAGCTCTCTGGCCCCTCAGCCATGTTTGAGGAAAGGAGATTCCAGAGAGGTGAAGGGGCGGGCTCAAGGGAAGGAGGGCAAAGCCAAAAACTGGTGGGAAGGGAGAGGGAGGAGGACGGGACACCCCAGACAGGGACAGTCCCTTGCATGGCGGGGAGTCCCACTCCTCCCAGGCCTTTCTGTTCCCTCTGAGATGCTGGCTCTGACCACAGCTTGTGAGCGTTCAGCCATCTCATCCTATGCCCTTCATTCCCGGTCCTTCCAATGTGAATCCCATTCCTCCCAAATTTCCCTGATTCCTACAGAGTGCCTATCTTGACCATCTTTTGTAATGAATTTTTTCCACATTGTTTTAGAATTTTTATAAAAGTGTAATAAATGCCATTGAAAACTGCTCACCTCTTATTTCTGCCTGCTCCTTCTACCTGTGCTTCAAACTGGCTTTTGGTTTTTGTACGGGGCTATCAGGTAGGGGGAAATCTTCCTTGGAAATAGAGGGGGTGGTGCCTTAAGGTCCATCTGCCCAGAGGACTGGCTGGCTCTTTGGTCCTGGGCTCTATCACCCTCTGCCCAGGTAACTGACACTTGGCTTGCCAGGACTGGGAGCTTTCGGCTGTACCTGGGGCTAGGGGTGGAGTGGCTTGATGCTGACTCATGGAGGAGGGAAGTAGAGGCCCTTAGGGATTAGAAAAGCCCAGCAGTCCTATCTCGGTAGAGCTGAAGACAGGATGGAAACCCAGGCTGTCCATCTGTATACAGGGAGCAGCGCCGTTACCCCGTAAGACCTGGGATGGTCCTGGAACCTGTGGGTCTCTCTCCTTCCCAAGTCAGGCAGTGGACATCTCAGGGACAGTCAGGACACAGTTGTAGAGGTCCCAGGATTCCTTAACCCTGTGGTTTTCCTGAGGCGTGATTGTGGAGGAAGAACTCAGCAATCCTAGCCATCCCCATTCAGATCCTGCTTTTTCCATTAGATCGTTTTGGCACAGCTCTCAGGTAACAGCGTAATTTAATGTTTTCTTATACTACAGAAATCTATTCTAAGAAGAAACCAATGGTGTGCTGGGGGTATAGCTCAGTGGTAGAGCATTTGACTGCAGATCAAGAGGTCCCCGGTTCAAATCCGGGTGCCCCCTCTCTGTTCCAGCCTTTTCGTGTTTTCTTTGTCCCGCAGTCCACCTCTCAAAGTGCCCTAGCAAGGGAGAGGGGACGCAACTCAGGGCCCTGTTACCTGCTTTTGCAGGAAGGCCAGGGTGGAGTCCCCGCCCCGCAGATCCACTCACGCAGGTCGCGTGTGTAGACTAGAGGGATGCAGTGCGAGGGCAAGGAGCTCCGGGCTAACCCTAGGTGGAAGGTACAGACGACCCACTTCGGTAGTGCTACGGATGAGGCGGTCCCACTCCCAGGTCCGTTTGGCCAGTGACCCGACGGCTTTTCCTGGGGAGGGAGGCCGAGTATCTAAGGGCCAGGCTTGGGCTGGGGAAGGAAGGCCCAGAGAAGCGCGCCTGAGCGTGCGGGACGGAAAGAGGGGCGCCAAGAAGCAATAAAGGAGCTCTAGCAGGGCAGGAAACTGGGAACCCGGCGCAAGAGAATGTCTCCGAATCGAGGGCTCTCGAATGATCTCGAGGGCTTTCTCCTCCCACATTCCCAAACTGCATTTTCGGGAAACAAGTTCTGCGCCCAGGAGAGTAATCTTTTGAGATTGAGATCATTCCCAATTTTTGGAAACGTCGGACTCCACTTTTCGCAAATCCGTCAAAGCGCCTGCGCAGCGAAAGCACTAAGGCGCTACCGCGCCGGGACGTTAGCAGAGGGGGTATAGCTCAGTGGTAGAGCATTTGACTGCAGATCAAGAGGTCCCCGGTTCAAATCCGGGTGCCCCCTTGGGCTCAGTTTTCGTGGACCACGATGTCCATGCGCGTTTTTATTTAAAGTTTCCCCCCGTCCACAATTTCATGTTGACATTTCCTTCGCCAACCCTCTTTTGGGGAGACGACAATTGGTGCAAGAAAGACGAGAGCCTGCAAGAAGCGGGAATTCTCAAGCTAATGGTTCTTAAAATGTGGTCCCCGGACCAGCACCACCACCTGGAGGCGTGTTAGAAATGCAGACTCTCGCTTCTTCTGAGAACTATTGAATTAGAAACTTGGGAGTGGCGTCCAGAAATGTGTTTTAATAAGCCCTCCAGGTGATTTTGATGTACACTCAAGATCCTGAGGCTTACATTAAAAAAAAATTTATACGTCCCTTGCTTCTAATTATTTCCAAGCTGCTGTTTTCAGCCTGAGCCCTTAAAAGAAACCTTGTAAGACAGACCGCGTCTCTCCATGTGGCCACTAGAGGGCAGCAAGAAGCCACAGCTGGAGGCGGATGCCTCTTCCCCTTTGAGAGTGGGCAAAATTGGGATTTGAATTAGACCACGAGAAGAACTTATAGACAGGCCTTGCCTTGTCCCATTGTAAGGGATTAAAGAGTTCAGGGCTGGAGGAGGTTGTTTCTGGGACCCTGAATCCAGAGGAGGGAGGAACTGGGATTCTGAGGGATTAGGGGGTCTTTTAGTTCTTGTTTCCTTCTCAGTTCCTTCCTTTGGCCTGTCAGGGAACACCCCTCTTCCAGCCCATGCTGTTCCTTCTCCTGTCCCCACGCGTATCCCTCTTCCTGGAGAATTCCCCCAAGGGCACTCAGAGTCCATACCCTACCTGTCCGCGATTGTCCAGTCCCTAGGCCCCAGCCCCAGAAGAAGCCAGAAGCCCCTTACCCCTCACTCGCCGCCCC